AAATACAAGTTGAAGAAGAATTTGCCTGGTCAGAGGAATGCAGCTGCACAATGGTTCAAAGGATTTTGTGCAGTGGCCAGGGACTACGGCATGGTGCAGGACGTGATGCAGCCGACTATGATGAAGAAGGACAAGAAAACCAAAGATGAAGACAATGGTCGACTGTTCCTCACCATCCATGTCGATGATTTGCTGTTGATTGGTGATGAAGAAGAAGTTGAACGATTCATCAGCTACATGGAACAAAAGTCCTGGAAGGTGGAGAAGCGAGGTCCACTATACCAAGGAAACTTCAGCTACCTCAAGCGCAACATGGAGATGATCGAGAATGGCATTGTGATCCGCCCTGACAAAGAGCACATCAAAGCATTGGCCAAGGTGACCAATGTAGAGAATCGAAAAGTCCGGACTACTCCGGGAGACAGCAACTTCACAAAGCTGAGCAAGGATGATGAGCCAATGGCAGACGAAGATGTGACAAAGTACAGGAGCGCTGTTGGAAAGATCTTGTACATTGCCCCAGATCGCCCTGACATCCAGTTCGTGGCTCAGGGACTAGCCAGTTTGATGCAGAAGCCAACTAAGAAGGCTTGGAGGGCAATGCAACATGTGAGCTCCTACTTGTTGGGAACCATTGACGAAGGCATTTTGCTGGAGCATGGTCCTAAAGGCAGAAGTGTCCTGAATGTCAACGAGGACACGCATGAATGGGAAGATGACTCCAAGGCCAACCTGCTTGAGGTGATCTGTGACGCCGACTACGCAGGGCAGCAAACTACAAGAAAGTCAGTGAGCTCAGTGCAGCTGTACTTGAATGGAGGACTGATGGAATCCTATGTCAGATGTCAAAGATGCATAGCACTTTCCTCTGGCGAGAGTGAATATGTGGCCATGGTTGGAGGATGCAGCGAAGGATTGTTCCTGAAGCATTGCTGGTCCTTTTTGACTGCAGAGGAGATCAACATGGTCTGCAGAAGCGATTCCTCAGCTGCTCGAGCGTTAGCTGGTCGGATTGGAGTCGGACGAACTCGTCACATTGCAGCCGGCTTGTTATGGTTGCAGGAGAAGACGAACGCCAAGGAGTTGAGAGTCACAGGAGTGCCCACGGCCATCAACGTGAGTGACATTGGCACCAAGATCTTGAGCAAAGCGCGCATGAAGGGCTTGAAATTCCTCATCAAGATGGTAGATGGGGACAATGAGAAGATTGGCAAAGAGGAGTTCGAAGAGATCTACGCCAAAGAAGAACTGAAGAAGAACACGGGAAAGCTAGCGAAAGCAGTCGGTGGAAATGCACGGATCGCACTGGTCCTGGCTTTGACGATGCTGCAAAGTGGCAAGGCTTCAGAAATGCATGAGAGAAAGGAGAATGAGGACAACGAGGAGACATGGTGGATTCGGCCATTGCTCACACTGATATGTCTGGCAGTGGTTGGAGCCTTGAGCTTGACAAGATGGCTATGGGAGAAAGGAAGACAGTGGTTCAATGGAAGACGAATCCACGATGATGGAAATGTGGCAAGACAAGAACCAGAAGAAGAAGAGCAGCCGCAAGAGCCAGATGAAGAGATGGACAATGAGAAGGTGAACATGCAGTGGCAAATTGTACGTTTGGAAGTGGCCATTGCAGAAAAGGATGAGTACCTGAAAGAGATGACTGAAGAGAAAGACAGGATGATGAATGAATACCTGAGGTTCGCAGACATGAACGTCAACCTCAGGGGTCAGCTTGATGATCTTCGAGAGGAGAACTTGGGACTGACCAATCGACTCCTACGAGGAGGTGGAAGTCGTGATGAAAAGGAAGAAGAGATTCGAAGGCTTGATGAAGAAGTCAAGCGAATGAAAGAAGCCAATGATTTGCTGAAGGCATGCATTGGTGAGATGAAGCAGGAAGCCAACACGATGACGAGACAAAGTCTCAATGGAGTGAAGTTTGTGATGGACCGAAAGAGATGGTACATCACGCAGTCAGGTGAATGCTATCATGAGCAAGACTGTCATTTCACGGCTAACAGAGCTGTGAGACAGGTCAAGCCATGCAGTCACTGTGTGTCTGAAACCATGCGGGCCGTGACAGAATCTAGCATGAATCAAATGACATAACTAGGTCAGATGGTATCAGACACGCATGACATGCACTCGAACTGTTCAGGCTCAATCAAGGTGTGAAAATAGGAGTGCACCGCTTTTCAGGATCGATATGTTTGAAGCAGTGTCGGCATGAAAAAGGAGGAAAACAAGTCCATCCACATGGTTCACGAACTTGAATTGGTTGGAGTGGCATCGTAAAGCTTGGTTTCGCTCTTTACAGCCAATATGTTAATAATGCAGGATTTTTGGTAAGTTTGTGCTGCTGCAAGAGGAACTTGTACAGAAACATTTTTTCATTCGATGAATGACATAGTGTTTTTGGGACACATTTTGCGCAGCAATTCCTGCCAAGACTTCTTTATATTTTTTCTATGTTGGCAAGCTCTCAGCAATGCACACATGCTTGGTATTATTTCTTGATCTTCACATGCTGCTGGGGAGTGTTCGAGCTGAAGAAGATTACTAGCCAGACTCAACACACCCCTGCCTTCTTCGTGGCTGGAAACTGCATTGGTTTGGGCGCGGTCTGGATCCAGCGATCTGCGTGTTTCATGTTAAAAACCAAATATATAAACCTTTTGCAAACAGATTATAAGTTTGGAACTTGTCCCTAAGAATCCTACGATTACAATGACAGCCATCGCATAGGAACCCGGTTGGTTTGGGAATACAGAGGCATTGGAATGGACAAAGGTGGGGAACCAATAGATTGCTTGGACCAATGGAGTCGGATAATTCAGTTTTGCAGAGAAGTGCTGTGCTGGATGCTAAGACTTAATGATGAATAGGTTTCCAGTGTTAGCTGTGATGCTTCTGTGTTTTTTGGTAAGGTGATCATGTATGTTGACTTTTCAGCTTGGATTGTCCCACCAAAAATCATCCAAACCTCTTCTCCACCCAGATATTTTCTGCCGTTTTCTTGAAGACTGCCGTACTCCGCGTTCTTCGACGGCGCCGAGGCCATGTCTGGCCGTGCCCTGCCTGTGGCCCTGCTCTGCTTCGTTGCGATGATGAGTCCGGGCACCCAAGGGCCCGATGCGCCCTGCGGGGCGACCCTGGCCGGTTGACCTCCCCAGTAGTCTATTCTGTTCATTTTCTATGGGCAACCAAGATCCCCGGTTTTGACCCATAGCAGAATCTTGAGTGCGAACTCGGCGCTTCCGGGTTTGGACGTCGGGCTGGGTCTGAGATTGGTCAGACAGTTCTTAGTATTGTGTTTTGGTGTCAGCCTGTGTGAACTTTTCTTCCACGCAGCTCTTTTCGGTTCAGGTACCTCCAATTTCTGCCGTTTGAGGTGACCTGGCTGTGTCATGGCACCGGGAGACGGACCCCAGACCCACCGACCGCTCCTCCAAACGCCTGAGGCTCGGCCTTCGTGGCTCCTGGAGCTGCACGAGAGGCGGGGTGAAGAGCCAAAACGGAGAGGGACAGGAGGACCGAGACAGCGGGGGACGAGCATCCTTTGATTCATATGGCAGAGAGACATTGCAGGGTCTCCAGAGTTCTACTTTCCACTCCTGCAAGTGGATTCTTCCTCTTTATCGTCCATATGGTCCATATGTTCCTCAATTAGTCCCTGCCTGATGCAGGGATTGAAGGCTTTGGAATCTTGTGCATGATTGAAGGATATTCAAAGCTTTGAAGGAAGATATGAATAACATCGCCTTACAAACAAACCATGAAGGCTTTGGATATTCAATGGTATGTTGTCATGTCTGTTTCTTTTTGCCTTGACAATGATTGCCCTCTTGAGACCCGATGTCAATGGATTGAATGGGCCATTTCATCATTTCGGTCATTTCTGTCGAGCTAGTGGCGTCGTGGGATTTGTGACACTGAAATCCCATTCCCATAGCTTTCACAAGCTGAAGCAACGCAACGTGATTGGGCTTCCCTACTTCGTAGAAACACACAAGGCGAAGGATACTAATTACAAGCAAGCTCATCCAGATGAATCACCAGAGATTGACCGAGTGGAGATGGTTTTTGTCCGTAGGTTTGGGACATACCTTTAATACCTACCACTACCAACAGAGGTTGAAGGACCCTAGTTCGACTTTCCCAGTTGGGTACCCCCGGTGGACCGGGTCCTTTTTCAGATCATTTATATAACCTCTCCTCTCTTGGTATGACGGACGGCTCTCTTGACGGCCGGCCTTGGAGGGAGCCGCCCTCCGCGGTGCATCGGCTGGGGGAGCCCGGCCAGTCGCGTGTCGCTCGTGACCCGTTCGTGTCGCTTGATGCGCTTCAGGTCCTCTGCATCCTAAGGCCGCAGGCCTGAGGCCTCAGGCCTGAGACCTCAATCTGAAGGACAACATAGACCAACACATATTGGTTCGGACCCCTTATACCAAAGGCCCGGTGAGCACAAGGTGTGGCTGGTGACCTCATGTGGCTGAGCACATGAGAATAGGCCTGGCAAACTAAACGAGAGCACACCAAGACTGGGGGTTGTGAAGTAGCCAGGTGAAGCCTCACATGTAGAGCATGGTCCGGGATTGGTGGATGGATTGGCCTCTTTTATCACCCTCCAGACATGGTTTACAGCAAATCATTTTTGGCAAGTCATCAAAAAAGCTCACCAAAACCACACACCAATCCTTAAAGAGATGGTTTTGGACTCTGAGTGGTGAAAGCAGAAATCCCAATCTCCAACCACTTGCGGCACCCACTCTTTGGGGCAATCTCCAAACCCGAAAGCTTTGAATTCAATGCATTGCTACTAGTAGCTTCTTGTTGCTAGTAGTACTGCCAGGAGATACTAGCAGCGTCCTTGCTCCTAGTAGCGATGCCCTTTGTTACTGTTACTAGTAGCTTCTGGTTACTGTGAAGCTCCGCCTTTCGTGCAACAGTGGACTTCTGGTCCGTCACCTCGCTCAGTCTTTCCAAACACGTTGTTTTCCGGCGCTGCGAGGCTGCGGGGTGACTCCGCAGCTCGCACATGACTTTTTCTTCCCACCTGGTGGGAAGAAGAGTGAACCAGGCCTTATCCTACCTTCTTCTTGGTTCTTCTATTGAATTTTATATCAAAAAACATCGTCAACAGCCAACAACTCCTCCCCCATCCTCACGCGTCCGATGCAGCACCCACGGGCACGTTTCCTCGTGCTGCTCACTGGCACGAGGAGCGCTCTCTGCTGGCGGTCACTGGTGGCCTGGTTGCCGCGGTACCAGGCCAAGCGCAGGTGCCGAACGAGCGAATCACTTCGCACCGGTGGGAGCAGGGGTAGGCATCGGCATGAGTCCCTGGTGGTGATGCAGGGGCCAAGAATTGGTCTCAAAAATGGGTAGACAGAACCAAAAGGGAATGTGGGTGTGTACTATTGTGTACTTTAATATCGGGAGACACCCTGGCCCAACGGTTTCCTTGTCTATTTCCCTTCTTCCAGGGGAGGTCTCCCTATTTGAGCTGCACACCCATGTATTGTTTGTAAAGTGTTCCGTGCCGTGTGAGTCGATGGAAGGCAGGAAGGCATGACGAAGCATGACTGGATCATCGCCTCACTTGGGATTACTCTGCTAGGCCCTGTATTGAAAATTGTTTCAATCCGTTTGGTGAACAAGTATTTTAGCAATAGAACCAGTCCCAACATCAGCCAGACCGACCTGTCTGACTAGCAGCCCCGCCACCACCCAAGGAGTGTTTGCAAGTTGTGGTTCACTCATGCCAAGCTGGAGTGGGCCTGAGCTGCTCCATAGGAAAGCCAAAAAGTCCATGAAGCGTGCAAGATAGGTGATCCCCCAATCTTTGAACCCTGTTGTCCATGTCTCTTTCGCGAGGCATTCTCTGAGACCGAGCTGAACCAGTTCGGCCTGCGGCTGCCTCAAGGGACCTGCACCACAGCTTGCGTGAGGTTCTTGGACAGAAACGATTCTGATCGCCCCCAAGCATCATCACCTGTCCCACCTTGGGCTGCGAGGATACGTTGACCCTGGAATGAGTGAGGCTTCTCCGAAAAGGATCGAAAAACACATCTATATAGGTGCAGTTGAAGGCTCATTCATTCAGTCATTCAGCGTTTCAAGTTCCTCGACTCAAGTTCCTTAAGCACTGTCCGCAACCGCTCGGCCGCACCGGCCTGCTCGCACCAAACGAGTGGTCCCACTCTTTTTGAGCGCTGATGGCTGCAGCATGCGCGTGCGGCCGAGGGTCTTCGCCATCTTCTTCTTGGGATTCTTCGTCGCCCGAAGCCTCGGTGTGGCCCTATTTGCGGCCAAATGCGTATGATTAGTGGTTCATGATATCATCAATAGACGTGGGCATTATATTTTTGTACATCTTTTGGGTTCATACAAAGCAGGTGCAACACCGTTGCTTGAGACACTCTGTTGCAGGGGCTTTACTACCATCTTTGGGTACAAAGCTTTTGAAGTAGGCAACCTCTTGTTCTTTCTGCGACGTTTCCTGCACGGCCGCGACAACTCTGAGGCGGGATTGGTGCGCATGTTCACGGTTGGCAAGCTCTAAGGACTCTTTTCGGACTCAGCGCGTAGGGGTGAAAACCAAACTTCAGTAGGACCAGGCAACAAACCAACTGGAGTGTCTTGCAGTCACTACTCTGCGGGGTGATATCGTGATATCATTACTCATGTTTCTTACAGAGCCTTGGCCTCTAAAAAGGTCTCTATGTTTGTTCTCGAGAGGCTTCAAGCCAGGCTTCTATATTCAGGTTTCAGGACCCGCCAGGGCCAACAGGTCATGACCTTACGGGTATGTTGGACCTGGAGTTAGTCATAGAAAAACACTACTCAAGGAGGTTTTCAGACCAGGTTTGAACCTGGGTCATACTGAACTTGTAGGGTTGAATTGGCCGTTACTCTTGCTAAAGATTTCATCCGCCCCTCGGCCTCACTAAGCTTCATCCAGCTTTCGACTGACTGGCATGTGCGAAGAACTGCCATTGGAGACCACCTTGTCGAGCCCTGGCTGCCCAGGACCTCTCAAGGCTCGAGGAAAGCCGCTTTTTACCGACCCGATATGGATGTCTGCGCGGAGAACGCGGACTGCGCAGAAAAACATGCTGAGAGATGCTGAGATGCGACCACGACCAAACGCCATGAAGGTAGCTCTGTGCTCAGTAAACCAACTAAGGAAGAAGATCAATACAACTACTTGGCAAAAATGCTTCTTTGCTGTATATTGGGTGTTTCTACCAGCTATTTAACGTTGAAGGGAAGTAGATTGTTCGTCCGCCAATACACGTTGCACGCTGTTCTTACATGGTTCAACGGTTCAACTGAGGTTCTTGCTGAACAACAAAGCCAGTTCGAATACCAATACCTTGATTCTTGAAGTCTTGCTTCCATAACTACACACACACACGGTCAATATCATCCTATAATCTTCGACAGAGGTGCCCCCCCTCCTGAGCATCAATTCACACATGTGCGTTTTCAAGCGTCGACACCATGTTTCATTCTCCTCTGCAGGGGTCGGGTCACAGGGGAAATCACAGGGGTCGTGCATTCCTCCGCTGCCTGCTGTTCTCGGCTCGCCCAGCGGTGCTTCATCCAGCTGCAGCGAACCTGTCTACCGATCCGTCGCCCGCCTTTTCACCGCGCGCCATGAGGGCGCCGAGCTGAGAAGGGTCGGCGTGGCCGGCATTGGTTGCAGCAGCCCCTGGAGGGCTGGAGGGTCCATTGGTTGTTCACTTCAAGGCAACGATTTGTTGGGATTCAACCCAAGGTTCTTCCGGGGTTGGTTGGTTTGCCATTCTCAGGAGGTCGCTGGGTGTGCAAGACTCCTTTGATTCAAGCACTAATGGGCGTGCGGCGTGCATTAAAATAGAGAAACCTTCCAAGGACCCGCTGGAGGAAGGGACATAGACCAGTATACCCATTGGTTGTGGGTCTATAAAGATACACACCCAAGTATTACCTGGGTCTCCGAAGGTTGCTTTTTCATGCTCCAAAACGAAGGGTGCGGACCCTGTGGCCGCTTTGCCCGACGGTCCAAACGGGAAAAGATGAAGCCCTTTCAGGAAAGCACCAGCCCTTTCAAAGGTGCAGAAACAATGTGAACATACATACTACAGAAAAGAGCTGGTGATTGGTGTTCCAGTTTGTTCCGCTTCACAAAGAAGTTCGCCTGGTCGGGCTTGAGGGCTCCTTTGGTTCTAGGAGATGTTCAAGGAAGGAGAGGACCCCCTTACTGCAGAGGTTCGTCGGTTTTGGGCTGGATGAAGATGTTCCAGAGCTTTTTCTTCCTGATCAAATCCCTCCAACTCAACCCCTTTCAACAGTGCTTGGTGAATGTGTTCAATTTGGGTTTCCATCTGGGCAAGATTCGGTGGAACTTCTCAAGTGGCCTAGTGTTCTGGAGGATCTCCCACACATCTCTGAGGCCTTGCTCCTTCTGGCATGTGGCCTGGTGAGAAAGCTGAAGGGAATTGTTTGGTGTTGCTCTTCGCGCGGTTCTTCACCGCCGGCCGTCTGCGGGCGTTTGGGCCGTGCGCCCCCCACTCCTCCGCCGTTGGGTCGGTGCGGTGCACCGGTGCGGTCGAAGCGTGATCGCTTCGGGGCGTGGTGTTTCCACGGCGTGGGTAGGTCACAAGCAACTCGGAACGGTGGATGTGGGATGATCCAAGGCATGGTTGATGGTCACACTCTGGACTCACTAACATAGAAGTGGAAGGCATGGGCATGGGCCGCTGGAAGAGCCTTTGAGGGAACTCCGCTTCCATGTGAGTGAGTGGGAGAGTAAGTTCCTTCAGGATCAACGTGTGGGACTTGGCCAAAGCTATGTGTGCCGTCACGAAGTTCGAGACTTGTGCCATTGTTCTTTTTTGCATGTCTGTAACTTGGACTCAGACATGTTCCTATATATATATATATTATCAACAACTATGCACATCTCATCACCTCTCCATCAAAACACATGGAATTAGACCCCATCTCCTTGGACATTGTCCTCGCTCCTCGGTGTGACGTCCTCGCGCTGTGGGTCTTCCAGCGTTTGCTCTTGGAATGACTTCAAAGCTCTTGGTGTATTAGAATAGGGAGACCTCCCAGTTGGGATCCGAAGAAGAAGGCCTTACATGATGTAGTTTTGTTGTACCAACGTGCCCCCATGCGGGTACATCACAAGATGCCTTGCGCCGTCAAAATCCAGACACGGCCCAGGGAGTGTACACCCAAAACCCTCAACCCAATGAGTCACATGACCATCACCCTCAACCCAATGAGTTGATCTCACTCTCCCGAAAATGCGAGTGACGCTCCGCTGAACAACCCACTTCAACGCTGGCTGAGGCAGTTTTGGAGTCCACGCCCAGGCCAATGGTTGGGTCCGGCCGGTGGTTAGGTCAGTAGTGGTTGCATAAAGGGTGTGAGGGGGGCGCCGGAAAAAAACACACGTGAGATGGTTTGTTTGGAAGATGTATCTAGGAGATCTATTTGGAACGATGTCTACAGGGGTGGTAGGAAGTGGTCCCACTATGACAAGGTTCATTTGTGCAGGCCAGAGAGGCTGTTGATGGACTGTGTTTCCTCCAGCCACAAGGGGATGCACCAGAGGCAAAGATCTGGAGGTATCTGTTTCTTTCTTCTCACTATCAGATAAGACATGATTTCGTCCATCAACACTGGGGCACAGGCACAAGAAATCCCCGGGTAGCTGCGAATTCGCAGATGAGCACCACCTGGACTATGACTCACCTTGGAGTCATAGAAATTGACCTCGCTCCGATTCCACGAAGCGACCTTCAGCGACCTTCAGGGGCCCAGCACCCGGTCTGGGCCCGCCCCTCGGACGGCAGGTGGCGACGAACCCCACTCACTACGGTGACCCCAAGACCGGCTGCGAGTCTGATGA